ATGGGAGTTTTTCACTGGTCTAAACCTCAAAATGTTAAGGTTTTCCTAACCATTCCTATATTCTTATAATTGAATCATGTATTTATTTTTTGGTGCTAGGGATTGAATCCAGGGCCTCATACATACTAAGCACATGCTCTACGACTGAATTTCACCCCCAAGCTCCTCCAACCCCCTCTAATGATTCTTGTCTAGCAGATGACCCCTCAGAGTGGTATATGAGAAATCAGAGCTAGCCAGGCATAGTGGTGCACACATGTAATTCCAGCAACTTAAGAAGCTGAAGCAGGAGGATCACAAGTTCAAGGCCAACCTCAGCAACTTAGTGAGGCCTTTAGGTAATTTAGTGAGACCTTGTCCAAAATAAAAAAAATAAAAATGGCTGGGGATGTTTCTTAGTGGTTAAGTGCCCCTGGGTTCAATCCCCAGTACTAAAAAGGAGAAAGGGTCTAGGCTAAGTTGCTGAGGCTGGCCTTGAACTCATATCTTCCTGCCTCAGTCTGTGGAGTTGCTGAGATTATAGGCATGCACCACCATGTCCAGCCTTCAAGATCCTTTTTAAGTTCAGGGATTCTATCCTTTATTAGAACTTCCACAGGTTGCTTAGTCTTTGTATGCATTTATCAGAATTCTCAGGTTTTATTTTATTTTTTTAGACATAGATGGACCTTTATTTCATTCATTTATTTGTATGCGGTGTTGAGAATCAAACCCAGTGCCCCACACATGCTAGGCAAGTGCTCTACCACTGAGCCACAATCCCAGCCCAGAATTCTCAGTTTGTTTAAATCACAATGGCATGTGGCCAGTCCTCTGGCACAATACCCTTTGAAATAACAGGTCACATACTTATCAACTATTTCATAATTTTATATACAAGCCTTTAAAACTCTGGGATAGATGCCATTCTATTCCAATGAAACAGTTGATTTATTCACCTAAATCCAAAACACACTACTGACATTATCTAACAGATATGACCTGTCTGAAACAAGTCATGTCTCACCTGTTGAGAATGAGAATATTCCTAATGTCTGCTGCAGAAAGATCAAAACACACTATTCATTTAGATTCTAATTTCTCTTCAACTTCTGTTTCCTTCCTCTTTTTTATATGTATTATTTTAGTTGTAGTTGAACACAATACCTTTATTTTATTCATTTATTTTTATGTGGTGCTGAGGATTGAACCCAGGGTCTCTCACATGCGAGGCAAGTACTCTACCGCTAAGCCACAACCCCAGCCCCGCTTTCCTTCCTCTTGTCTCGTACTCAATCCCTGTTCTCCCCATCTTAAGCCCTACTATCTCAAGTCATCAAAACTCTAATTAACTTCCCTGTATCTCCCATACTCACCCGATCACGTCCACTTTTAGCCAGCGAGACATTGGCAACAGGAAAGGAGCAGAGTGAGGTCGTGGAGGAATCACAATCGGTCCTAAATGAGAAGGGGGAATGATACTCTGCTAAGTTAGAGTCCACTTATATCTGCAATTCTTTTGGGTTCCTAGGGTTCCTTTCTCTCCCCAATTCTTTCTGATAGGTGAACAAATGTGACCAGTAGATTCAAGATACTAGAATGATTTTTTTTTCAGACTTCCCCCCAATTCTCTTCCTGCTACTTCAGTTTATTGCCTCTCATGGGAACCTACAGATATGGTGTTTCTAAAGACTCCTTTGAAGAACTTGATAAAATATAGATTCCAGGGTCCTAACCCAGAGATTCTGATTCAGTAGTTATAGTCTGGTCCCTATTTTGAGAAAACTCCCCAAAATGGTCTATAGATGACTTTTAAAGTCATTAAACTGATAAATTGTAGGGAAAACTCTATATAGTATGTAGGTATGCAACATACACCTGGGCATGTACATACACTATTATGGCAGGAAAGATCATAGGTTTCTTAGGATCTATGTCCCCTAAAAGTTTAAGATCTACCTTAGAAATTTCAGTGCATGACTAGGGATTCAGGACAGGGGAAAAAAAAAAAAGATTGGACCACTGATAATAATGTCCCCTTCAGCTGATTGGTCCTATACCCATTCTTAGGAATAAGAGAAAGAATCTGACAGTGAAGGAAATGGGAAAGAATAAGGGGCCAGGCAAGTAATAGGACTCTGGGAGTCAAGTTTTTGTACCCAGTCACCTTGTATTTCCACAATCTATTGTGCAGCAGACTATTTAGGACAGGAGGCAGTAAAGTAAAAGGCAAAGGAGATATTTCCTAATACTTCTGCTGAAAGCCAAGTGAGTTTTGAGATGCCCAAGGGGTTGGATTGGTTCAAACTTCTACAGTGGCTCTGAGAGAGGTTTGATAGAACCTAAACAGAACTGACCCGTATTTTTTAACCAGAAATAAGCGACCACAGGTAGAACTAGCACCCTAAAATCCTACCATCCCAGACCTGATCCCGCCTTGGGTTGTGGTAGGTGAGAAGTTCTGTTAGCACAACAGGCTCAAGTTTCCTCTTCTGTAAATGAGGGGACTGAAATGAATAAGCTCCAAGGGTCCTTGCAGCAATTCTCACACAGGATTCCTCCATTCTGACAGAAGTCCCCTCTCACCTATAGTAGAAATGCACAGGGCTGAGGTGGCTGACTGTCGGCATGTAGGAATAGTAGAAGGAGCCATAGAGAAAGACAGACACCCAGAGCAGGAGGAGGATGGTGCAGAAGAGTACCCCAAACTGCAGCAGCAGCCTGCGGGCACGGCCTGCCAAGACATGGCCCACTTCCTGGGCCCACAATAAGGCAGGTACTGGTGGATCATTGACCATGGCAGGGAGAGCAGGGGGTCTAGCCCCAGATTCAGGTCTTGCGTTCTTAGCTGCTCTGCCACCTGGACGCCACCCCTGGCCATGGGATGAGGCAGCTGGCGGTTCCTGGAAAAAAGAAAAAAATGAAAAAAGAATGATTCCTTCCCTTAAGCAGGTGGGGACAAAAAAGACAAGTTAATTAGACTGGGGAAACCAGAGATAGCAGGGTAAAGCAAAGTCATTTTTTTCATATGGCCTTTCTCCAAGTGGTTGGGCTTCCTAGCCAATTATTCCTTCCTTTCCCTTTAATACCTTTGCCCCAGTGTCAGTGCTTCTCAGTTGAACTCTTTCCCCAGAAGCATCTGATTTTGATGCTTGATACTCATTCATAGCTAGCAATACATAAAACAGAGAATGAGCATCTTAACATTCTCTCAAAGCAATTTTATGCCAGGCCCACGGTGCCTGCCTATAATCCCATGCTGGAGGTTGAAGTCAGCAATTTACAGAGATCCTATCTCAAACAAACAAGGGCTGGGGTGTAGCTTAGTGGTAGAGTGACCCTGGGTTCAATCATCTCTTTAACCCACACGATGACACGAATCCACAGTGCCAGGTGGTTGCACGGAGAGGATGCACGACTTGCCTACGGTCGCACAGCAGGACTCAAAGCCAGCAGCCTAAGAGCAGTCACAATTGCCTCCCGAGCTTCTCTCCACCTCCAGCTGCGCTAGCTTCGGGTAGGTGCTCCGCACGCCCGGCAGGGCGTCTTGCAGCCAACGGCTGCTCCCCGCCAGTCCCCTCGGGCCCGGTGGTGGGCGCGGCGCGGGAGCCCCCACCTAACTGCGCCACCATGGAAACCAGCCCGCCCGCCGCCACAGCACTGCAGACTCACCAGCCTCGCGCGCTGCCGAGGCAACGGCGAGAAGGAATTTCCGGCTGTCGGAGAAGTCCCGCCCCTTTCTGCCGTCAGCCATTGCAGTCTGGGGGCGGGGCCTCATCAGGGGCGTGACCTGACAAGGGGCGGGGGCCCTGTCTCTTCCGGCCCCCCCGTCTCTCTGCAGCCCTACACCCTGGACCATAGGGGCAAGACGCCTCCCTCCAGGCTCCGAGAGATGTGCCCCAGGGCATGTTCTGACTCAGCAGAGTCCCCTCAGCCTTCTGCTGGGGCACGGCCGTTTGCCCATACCCTTCACCACCGGCCACTTAACTCCCGAAGCTGGGGGGGGGGGGACGCGGGCTACGATTTTTATCCCTCAAGGCTCTTAGAAACTGTACATGTCCAAGGCGGGGAGTATTCCTTCAGGGGATGTTGTATTCTGCGGGAACCAGTCCATCCCGGGTGTTGCGCAGGTGGCCGGCCTGCTGTCACTATTTACAAGCGTGTCAATATTGCAGTCTCGCCATTGGTCTCCAGCTCTTAGTGAGTGATCAACCTCCTCTGATCCTAAGTGGACACACTCTCCCTAAAACATTAGTTTAGGTCTTGGCAGATGGCGTCTTATATTTTGTATCTATCTTAAGTTCCTTCACTTTGCAAAATCAAATGTGCGTACATCTTTGCATAATGCTGCAGGCGTGGGAGTACCTATTCAAAATGTCTGAAAATTTTCCAAATCAATACACCTTCCCTCGCTATTTGCTACCCTCCACCCTCCCCCAAGCCCACCTATTTCCAAAATATTTCCACTGACTCCCAAACAAGGCCCCTTACCTCCTCTTTGTCGGATCCTTTGATCTGGTCTCCGCACACCTCTTTGCCCCCAGCTTCTCCTTCTCTTTGATCTGCCATTTCTTTAGACATCTTCCTGTCCCTGGATCTCCGACTCAAAAGTCACTTGTGGCTAGACTGTAGTGATCTAGAAGCTGATCACCTGTAGCGCGTCACATTTTCCTGGGTATGGGGAATGGAGGATTCCTGGGAGAGAAACGAAGATTCAGGTGCTAAGTGCTGTGTCAGGGTAGAGAGGAAGGGAGGAGGGGGCCGACTGCCCAGCTGATGTCAGATTTTCAAATGAGCAGGGTCCCCCACAGCCAGTAAAGACTCCACTGCAGGGGCTGTCACAGGCCTAGACCACCCCATTTGAGGGGGGAGTCTGCTTCGGCCTCAGCTCCTTTGGAGAGGGCTTTAGTCCAGGCTTGGGATGCCTGCAGTGGGGGAGGGGCAGGTAGTGAGACAGTAATAGTGGGGGTGTGCTCAGGGGATGCAAGTGGCAGCCAGACTCCCCCACTGGCCAGGCAGTTGGTATGCTCCAGGATTTGAGCAGCTCCTTCTAGCATCCTTCATCCTTCAGGTATCAGGCATCTAGGCACTGCTTGAGCTGCAGAAATTGAGACCACCCCTTCACGGACCTCAGGCCTGACCCTTTCCCAGTAGCCTTTTTTGTATTATCTGCTTCTGCATCAGATATTTTCAGCTGCAACTCCCTGCAGGGTGGGGCACCCCCCCCCCATCTGAGGCAGTTTTTGGTGCCCCCCCTCCCCCACTGACCTTACACTCCAGGGCTGAGGCTGCTGCTGCCGCCTGCCACTTCAGGTGAGTAGGGAGCAGCTTGTTTTTTTATCCTATTGGGATTCAAGGAGGGTAGGTGGGGGTGATATGCCCTCCTCATCAGGGTGGGGCTCTTTTTGGTTGAGGCTTTTAGAACTGGGAACACACCTGGCTTGAAGGACTGAAAAAACCTTAGATCATTTGCATGTTTGATGACCTGGGGTCCAGGCCATGTGGCCCACCGTCTCCTATTTTTCCACTGAGGAAGACAGGGATGGGACAGGCAACCAGAGAGGGTTGGGATAAGAGGGAAACAAAATATTGGGGCATGACTCCACCCTTGTAAAGGTTGGTGAGGAGTAAGCACAGAGGGGGCCTTTTAGCTGAGACAGCTCTGAACTGTCACTCTCTTTTCTCCAGGATGAAAGGGGAGACTCCTGTGAATAGCACCATGAGTATTGGGCAAGCTCGCAAGATGGTGGAACAGCTAAAGATTGAGGCTAGCCTGTGCCGGATAAAGGTGGGTGGGACCCTGGCTTGATTAGTTGGCCAGGCCTTACTGTGTGGTAGGTTTCCAAACCTCCTGATAAGAGATGCTTCTTTCCTCGACTTCCTGAGGTTAGGGGAGGAGGCTGGGGCTCTGCTAGGAGAGCTAACCCCAGGTTTCTGTGGGGATGAGGGAGAAGACAGTCTCAAGGAGCCCTACCCATGGTAAAAGATACCCCCTTTGGAAAGAGGCTGTAGTCCCTTTCAAGGGTTCTGGCTAACTTCCTTCTTATGGCTGTGTCCTAGGTGTCCAAGGCAGCAGCAGACCTGATGACTTACTGTGATGCCCACGCTTGTGAGGATCCCCTCATCACTCCTGTGCCCACTTCGGAGAACCCCTTCAGAGAAAAGAAGTTCTTCTGTGCCCTCCTCTGAGCTACTTAGTTCCTACTCTCCTCACCTTTCCCTCTCCGTCCTTCCTTAGGTCGGTAACTGTGGAGAGCTTCAGAGGCTCCCCGCAGCCCATTCCTACCCTTGCCCCGCCCTGTGAGGTTATCTGAAGCACAAGACCCTGCTCACCCACATCGACCCCTCTCCTCACCCTCTGCGGCCAACCCCAAGCAACCCGTGACTAGGGCACTCTTAGCTCTACGATCAGAGAGGTTTCTGCCAAACTGCCAGCGTCCTGTCCACGTCCCTCTGTGACCCGTTCAGACAATGGAGAGAGGGACGCGCCAGGTGCCTGCTCTCAGTCACACCGGGAGCTACTGGAAGGTTAAAGCCATTTAAAGAATAAATTCATCCAGAACCTCAGAGGGCAGCTCCTGTGTTAGCATTCTTGGGGTAGAGGATCCTAGACAACAGATTTGCCATACCCCGGAAACAGGGCCAAAGAAGGTTAGACGTTGTCAAGGATGGGAGCTCAGCGGGGCCGGGGTGGCGGCGCATCGCCACTGGGAGAGGTGTTACAGCGGACACTCAGAAGCTGCGGGGATCGTACACACACCCACACGCGCGCGCACACAGAAGGCAAGTAAGCATGAAACAGACTAAACAGGGTAGGTTTAGGGGGCTGCGGGAAGGTAGTTGCTGGCCGACCCTCCCTTAGGAGTGGAGGGGCGGGGCGCGCGGGGCGGGGCGGACCGGGCACCGCACCGGGGCCGCTTCGTGCTAAGATGGCTGCGCCCGCTGTGTGGTTCAACATGGCTGCCGCCCGGCCGCGTCAACATGGCGGCCTCCACACCGGGCGGCCCGCCGTACGGGATGCTCTCAAAATGGCGGTGCCCAGAACATCGGGCGCTCCCAATATGGACCCTTCTGTGTTCGTCGATCTCAAAATGGCTGCTCCTACCCTTACGAATTCGGTGCCTGCACCCCGCAGTTTTGAACCTGACGACCGCCGCGTGGTGTCCAAGGCACACGGGCAGCCATAAGGATGGATCATAGGACAAAAGGGCTCCAGTTAGCAAGCGTGGCCAGCGCTGATCGCGTGGATTTTAGGGGAAAAATGAAGGTTTCTGTATCTCGCCAAGTAGACTCCCTTTGAGGCGGCAATGCAAAATAGGGGTCTCTTCCTGGCACCATCTTTTTGGCGCAGGCCTGTAATCCCCGCGAGTAAAGAAGCTGATGCAGGGGGATGGCAAGTTCAGGCCAGTCTCAGCAACTCAGCAAAGCCCTAAGTAATGTAATACGATGCTGACTCAAGATAAAAAAAATAAAAATGGTCAGGGATGTGGCTCAGCAGTTAAGTGCCCAGGGGTTCAATCTCTGATACAAAACAAGGCAAAACAAACAAACAAAAAACATCTGTAACTGTTTTTTTGTGGTGCTAGGGATCGAACCCAGGGCCTAGAGCATGCAAGGGAAGCACTCTACCAACTGAGCTATATCCCCAGCGCAGTATCCCAATATCTCATTAACTTAAGGGACCCATTCTTCCTGGGAAAAGCCTAGGCCAACTCTTGTTTTGTGCCTGGACATGCTTGGAGTATAGAGAGGCTGACCTGCTGTAGTAGTAAGGTGACCTGTATTCAGATATAACCTTTCACCCCAGCTTCCCCACCCCTTCTCACAGGAAATCAACAAGGGGAGAGGAAGAGAGGAAACCAAAGGAATAAAGAGTATTTTATCAGCAATTCCAAAAGATGACCTCATGAGCTCCAAGGGTACCCTTGAAACAGCAGCATTTCACTGTTGATGGAATTTCTGAGCCCTAACAGATTCTAGAGGCCATCTAATTAATTCCCTCACCCTGTAGGCTAAGAAACAGAAAATAACCTGGTTGCACTCCAAACCCCATTTTGTTCAGAAAATCTGCTTAGTTCCTTCTGTTACTTGTGAAAACTACAGGAAGGCTCAGGTCTGTCATAATTCCTGCATGCTGACAATGCCTGGCACATAGCAGCCACTCAATGAATGGATTGTACTGTGAAGTGACAAGCAGAGCATAGAGAATAAGAACCCTTCCCTTTTCCTGCTGCATCACAGTGCTGGGCAAATTCCAGGAGAGTAACTGAAAATTTCCACACCAGCTCAGCCTTGGTAAAAAGCCAAATGTGTTCAATAAATGTAACCTTGGCATTAGGTTAAAAAAAAAAAAAAATCACTCTGGTTGGGGGAAAATAGCGCTAGGCAGTTACTATAGACAGGCACAAATTATAAATAACCATTAAAAACAACACATTAGGGCTAGGGGGATAGCTCAGTGGTATCACACTTACCTAGCATTTATGAGACGGGTTCAAACCTTAGTACCTGGGTGGGGTGATAATTAATTTAGCTCTAACAATAAATGCCCAGTGAATAGGCAGTGATCAAAATCAAGAATGACATTTAGGGTACAGGTTTTTTTTTTTAAGTTGTAAACAAACATACCTTTATTTTTTTAATGTGGCACTGAGGATGGAACCCAGTGCCTCACACATGCAAAGCAAGCACTCTACCACTGAGCTACAACCCTAGTCCCTAGGGTACAAAGTTTTAAGACCCTGAAATCTGAATGTGTCACCTACAGAAGCGGGGGTTTGTTAAAACAGTGTCTACATTAATACCACTCAGACATGGTATATACTAAGAGCCTATGATCTGTCAGCCTTAATGATGAACAACCCCACCATTAGAAATTGCAGTTACAGGGCTGGGAGTTTGGCTCAGTTGTAGAGTGCTGGCCTAGCTCTGGGTTCCATCCTCAGTACCGCCAAAAAAAAAAAAAAAAATTTATAATCAGTTCAGTGCTAGCAACAAGAGTGCTTTAATTTACCTTCTTAGTTTTCAAATTCACTATAAAGCACCCCCAAATATCTGTTGAATGAGTAGGCTTTTCCTCCAAGGTAGTCATCACTCATAAATAAATAAACTTATTTCCTTTCATATATGGACCCTTACATTTAACCCCAAATATCCAATGATTTTTATCACAGTCCAAGTATACAGAGGTGAAGTTAAAATTTATTTTCTTCTACTCTAATGGCTCAAGCTCTTAGCATAATCAAGAGCTAAGAACCCTGGCCCCCTCACCGCCAATGTACAGCTGGCTCCCATGTGAAGTATGGTAGAAAAGGAAGGCAACAGCAGCCATGCAAGGGAAAGCCATCCTTGGTTGGACCCAGTGCAACTTGAGAAATAAGCTTTAAAAAACATAAACGAGTAAACACAACCCAGTCAGTGCAGCCACAGGAGAAAGGGTGAATTCAATCCAAATGGTTATTTATTCTAAAACTGGAAGCTACTGTGCCTACATTTTTGCCAGAATGTTGTAATGAGAACAGGGGAGGAAAAAGTTACAGATGTAAACAATGACACAGTTACATTTTTTTTTTTTTAAATGGTAAAACCCTTTTTTACTGGCCACTTCCAAGAATGCTTTACAGGTTGTGCAAAAACATTTACAGGCTCCATGTGGTGTTTTGTTTTTCTCACAAGTTTTTCCATCTACAACTACAACAAACATCTGATAAAACACTAAAAAGTCTTCTAAGGAAAACAAGGCTAGGGATCCCTCCTGTTACCATAATCCACATTTCCCCCCATTTAACATTTGTTTTTTCATAATAGACAGACAGAAACAAAATCCAGACATCCACTGTTTGAGTGATCTCTTAGACTGATCTAACAAGGATGTGGCAGTTTCATTCTCTACCCACCTAGAAAAACAGCTTTTTTTAAAAAGATGACTTTCTAGTGTCAAAAATCAATGGCAAGTACTTCCCTTGTCACCACCCAGAACAAAACCCTCAGAATGGTTTAAGCTTTGTTCCCCTGTTCCTGAGGACCACCATCCATGTCACCAACTGTAAGAAAATACTATATGCTGGAGGACTGAGTACTTAAGGGGGTGAGGGGCAGCCTCTATCTCAGGAAATTCAGTTTTCTACTTTAACATAATCTTGCCCTAAGGGAATTTCTTTGGGCTCCAGTTTTTACCTCCTCGCCCGATACTATGAGCAAAGCTTTCTTAAAAGTCCTTAATAATAAAAAGTGGGTTATAGAAAAGTTCATGCAATCACTTCACCCACCGCCACATACAAATCCATTTGATGGCACCTCAAGGAAGCAGGTGCCAAGAGAAAAGACATCATTATGAGCAAGCAAACTTATTTCCTACCAGACCCCTGTTCCAGTCTCGGGTACAGAGGTGCTTAAGCAGAAGGATGTGTCGGGACAGACAGGGAGGATTAGAAGGCCAGAATGAGGGTCTGCACACCTAGAGAAGGGCTCTGCCTGGCAGGGACAGTGGGAGAAGAGATCAAATCTCAGTACAAAAGTTTAAACAAGAGAACTGCCAGGTAAGGAAGTGGAAGTGAAGCATTTTCTAGTAGCACAACCCGGGGTTTTCTCACTAGGGAGTGCTGCAATACATGGTGTTTGCTGAGTAAGCTCTTGGCTGATACAATGCTGAGCAGGAAGATGAATTAAAACTGAAGCTGAATTGAAAGAGCATTTCCATATCCCACCCATATTCTTGAACCCAGCAACCTGCAGCTATTTTGTCAAGAACTGGGAAGGTGTTGGTAAAGTTAAACTAAATGATCCCAACTGAAGTCTCCTAGCTAGAGGCCTGTCTGGGGACACACAGGGAAAGCTACCCCAGAAAGAATCCTGTTTCAGGAAGTTGAGTAGGGTGCTCCCTTTCATACACACATGTGCACACACATTCACACTCACTCTGCCCAAGTTTCAGCAGCCCCACTGAGCTGCCTCCCACCCCCCACCCCCCTTTTCTATTCATTCTCTACCTGTGTATCAAAAAGACCAGCAGGGCAGAGCCCCCCCCCATACTGTATAAAATAGTTGCTATTCTCAGCACCTGGGCCTGGGAGCCCACACCACAGGATTCACCTATATACATATCCTGCTGCAGTGAACAGAATCCTCCTGCATTACTGTGAGCTGAAACCCTGAGAAACGTTCCTTCTCTCACACTATAAGAGGCAGACACTGTAACAGATGATTTTAGAGACCTCCTACCTCTCTCAACCTCGGAAGACAGAGACTAGAGACTGGCAAATCACAATCTTCAGGCTGAGGGCTGTGACCCCACTCTCCCCAAAACTTTATGGGAATTCATTAATGGGTACATATAGGGAACAAGCTATTCTGCTCTGTAATCTAGAACAGATCCCGTGCCTCCTTGGCCTGGGAATCCTATATAATAGAACCACCCAACTCTGTGCCTTAGCCAAGCAGGACAAAGGCACAGCAAAGTGGACACTGGGATACTGTGGCCTCCCAGCCCACCAGACCAGATATCCCAAGAGGGAAAGGTCGGTAAAGAAAATACAAACGGTTAGTTGGTGCAAGTGATTGATAAGAGCCAATCGTTTATTTTCACTGCCCCGGTCACAAGCGCTCCCTCTGGCCCACTCCTGCCTGCTCCTACCTGCTATGGAAGGTACTCTCACACTGTTCCCCTTCTCCCCACCACGACACCACTGTCCCTTTCTTGGCTGCCAGTCCAGCTGCCTTAGAATGTCAGAAGGGTGACATTTTTAGTTCTTTTCCTGTCCAACTGCAGGGTATAGAACAGGCAGCTCTAAGTGCTGCTTTCTGCG